ATCAGTAAGCTGAGTTAAGGATGAACGCACCCAAATTTAATGCTAAGCAGAATAATAAAGGAACCACAAACAAATTAAACTTGAAAAGAGAGAAACAGTAGAAGAAGAATCACTTACTTGACTAAATACATCACCAGGCGTCACCCAATGGCCATCTCTTTCGTCATCATCAATGATCTTCTTCACTTTCTCGACCCAAATGTAGTGCAGCTTCCGGTAAATAAACCATCTCACTTCATCAACTTCTCGCATTGATCCATCCTCATGAGGTACCAGCTTAAAGAAGTGTAACTATATTTTCTTTGTGACGAGAGAAAATAAACAATTCATAATTAGTGCAAAAATAGGACCATAAAGAGGTGAAAGGCATGTGTTTTCAACTCCTTATTATCATCAGTAGCTACAGTCACTTAACATAATAAAAAGTGAGTCGGCTAGCGATCTCTGGCGCTGTTCGGACACGGGATGGGGGGGGGGGCATTTTGCACTTTCGTTTTTTCGCTTCTTCGTGTCGAGCTGTCAGAAAAGATTTGTGAAAACTGGTGAAACCATGAAGTGACTCCGCCGCAGTTAATAGGAGTTACTTGTAAATCCTTGCAAAGCAACGACGGGAAGCAGCGAAAGTGCAAATTGTCCCCCCCCTCCCCCCCCCCCCAAGCGCAGCAGAGCTCAAAAATCAAATAGTTTGCAGGAAACACTCTTTCTGTCCCCTTATTGTAAATCACTTCTCATAGTGTTATCCTTCTAATGAATATTTTTGGAATACTCACCAAAGGAGGACCACGAAAACTTCTACGAGTGGTTTTGATCGGATGAAATTCTTCAACATTATGGTCATCCCTGAAATAATAGTTTAAATTAGCACATAGTACAACGTTAGTATTTCGTAATATTTTTAATTCCTAACAACATGCTGCTTTCGAGTTTTTTTCATTCACCATTCAAAAATTCAGAGAACGAAAAATTGAGCAAATATTGGAAAGCTCCGGGAAAATATTGCGCATAGCGCGGGATTCCCCTAAGCCTGGGGTCTGATCAAACAAACATGCATGACAGTCTGCTGGATAAACGATTTAAAGGGCAAACTCACACGATATATACAAAATCAGCAAAAGCAAATGTAGAACGCGTGGCACGGAATCGGATATGCCATTTCTGTTTCCAATGAAGGACTAAGCGAAAAAGTCCCGCTGTCACGAAAGATAATATGTAGAATAAACCCTGAAATAGCAGCTTGAAAAGAATAATTCGGATTCATCAAAAACCAACAAATTATTGCACAACATACCGTTCTAAAAGAATTCGATTTATACGCATATAAATGGAGTGAATGCTCTCCAGACTCGAGAGTCAAATGGTGGCGACGACCGCCACCTCCCTCTCCCATGCCCTAATTGTCGGCGGTTCAACAGCTCCCCTGAAAGGACAGCCTATAGTAGGAGAAAAACAAAGAAAAAAAGAAAACTTCAAGCCATTTTCCGGTTTCTGAAGAACATGAGAAGGTCGAAACGTCAGGCCAACAAAAAAGTTTACTAAAGAGCCTCGTTTACTAAACCCAGAAGAAATTAAACAAAGGGTAAAGAATCACAGTTTTTTGCAAAGAGGGAAAGACAGGATAGCATTCCCACTAGGGAGCGCTTGGCCAGATACAAAAGTCAGCGTGACGAGGATATAGCCTTTCGAACAGCTTACAAATAATCATTATAAATCCAATTTATTGATAGTCAAGCTTGGCGTGAGAGTCGCAATGTTTGTCCCAGCTGCCGCTCCTTTTCCTCGCATTTTCTGCACATGCTTATCTCTTTGGGTGTTCAGACTTTGCGTCAGCGTTTTGAGCGTACGACAGCGTTTCGAGTGACTGAGAAAGTATAGGTATCGATTGCACTCAAAACGCTGCCGTACGCTAGATCGATACCCATGTACTCTAGTTCACTGTGGATGAAAGGGCGTGTCAGTCACAAGAGTGTGCCAAACCCCTTCTCTGCCAATTGTTGAAGCAGATTTGCGACAAAATTGGTAGAAAACGAGTGATACGAACATATGAAAGCGCATTCAGACTTCGCGTTCGCGCGAACTGGATCGCGAAGTCTGAACGCGCTTTGATACACACTTGTCACTTGCTTGCTTCAACAACTGGTGCAGAACGAGTTTGGCAACGCGCTAAAACACCACGCCTGGCACGCCCTTCGTTCGCACCGGACTAATTTACGCTCTCCTATTCGCTCGGAAGGCTGACGCAAAGTATGAACGAAGTTTTGGTGAGATCACATCGAACCCTTGCATGGCCCTTCGGAGCGGCTGTAAGTGCATATAAATCGTGGCTTATCCATAAAAGGTGGGTGCAATCACCATGATATCGTGCACTGACACCAAGGACTGCCGCTGCTGGGCCAAATTCGATACAACGGTCGGCCCACTTTGAAGTCAAGCTCAGTGATATGGAAAAACAGACAGATAGACCAATTAAGCTACAAGTCAAAAATGAGCACATCAATGGAGTGCCAGATGTTAAGTACAAAATTACAGAAATATACGTAGGACAGCCCGTCACGAAGGTCTGACGCCTGAATTCGCAGATCCGCGATAAACTCAGCTTGCAAGCACATCGTATAGTAATGGAGTACCCATAAAATAAGGAAATCAGACCTCGCCACGAGGCAGGACAAAGAACGATACATGAATATAAAATACTGTATGCAAGTATAGAGCTCGTGAAGAGCCTTTTTTCGAAACGATTTGATCGTTTCTAGAATGGTCACCGACCAGGTCAGAACATCTCCTAAAGATTGTCTAACTCTTAACCAGGTGAGATAACCGAGCGCAGACGAGAGAGTGTGTCAACTAATTGCGGATATAACTTCCTCTATAAGCTTCGAAATAAAGAGGAAAACCAATTCGATAACAAAAACCAGCGGCATGGTAACTGCGTTGACTTAAAACTATGGAATTGAAGCGGCAGCTGTCCAACGATCAATCTCATGCCATCGTCATGAGACATTTCAGATAAGAAAAGAAAGAAGCACGTGAGCCAGGTCATTACGAGATGTCGCAGATGCTACGTGAAGCGGGTGTGATTGCGTACTAAAAGAGACTACCGTAATCACGTCTGGTTTTACTAGCCTGTCAGGCACGCAAAAGGGCTAGTGCCGTATGGACTCCAGAAATTTCAACACCGAGCTCATTTTTAAATTGCCTAGGTCACCAAATCCGCCAAAAACTTGACTATAGAGGTAGTTTGACATCCAAATTCAGAATATGACATTCACTGTTGTCGCTGGCGCTGATGGATGACCCTACGATTATCTGCGCTCTGCTAAGGCTGAGCCCAGGAGGTAATCGTGCCCTCTCTTGGCGCCAACGACAAGATTGAATCTCATATTTCGTAATCAGGATGTTAAACTACCCCTATATACAAGTTTTTAGCGGATTTGGTGACTTAGGCAATTTAAAAATGGGCTCGGTGCCGAAATTTCTGGAGTCCAAACGGCATTAGCCACGCAAAAGAGGTAAAACATGAGAATCCATCCATTCTCTCGATAACACGTATATCTTCTTTATAACAACACATCACAGAGAAGAGGTGAGTCAATCTAGCGCATTTGACGCCTATTGTAAGGCTTCACTTTCAAAAGTTCAGCGGGAGACCTACTGCCTTGTCGCACCCTAGGAAAGATAAAGGTTATGGGTTGCGTAAAGCGAGCCCTTGTTACACTCATAGTTTCAGATGCCCTGGTTGGTCCGCACTGCAACCACCTTGGTGTAGCGCCGTACTGGATTACGGGCGAAGAAATGGCGCACTCGCTGTGCGATGTTGAACGACGTAGTCCTCAAGCATGACAACTACACTCCTTATCCCTGAGCCAGAGTAGGCGTGGCATTTGAACATGGCACGGAACTGGTTACTCGTGGAATATTCCAGTCTGGGACAACTGTCATCTTGTTCTGTGTTGGACAGAGACACGACAACAATTGTGTCAAGATGAAAATATCTCACCAGAAGCATAGACACCTTCAGGTTAAGTTGAAACATGCGGCCACGCCTATCCCAGGGATTTCGAGTATAACTCGAGGCTGCGCAATGGAGTACTTGACTTTGAGTTAAGGTCCTTGACCATGATTGCAGCTGCTTAAATCATACTGAAACGAGCACTATGGATTTGGTGACGCTTCTCTTCTAACTACCCTTATCGGAACTTATCAGCGACTCCCTGACTCCCATCCATAAGGCTGCGTTCATACTTTGTGGCAGGGTCCACAGCGTTTCAAGCATACGGCAGCGTTAGTGACTGGAAAAGTATAGATATCGATCTAGCGTCTAGCAGCGTCCGAGAAAGTATGGCGAGGTAGGAGAGTACCAGCTGTCTGCTATCCTCCTATGGTTACGTGACATCTTGAACTTTTGTGCATGGTCCTGTTAGGCTGCGTTTATACTTTGCGGCAGCGTAGCATAGCGCAGCGCTTCCAGCGTTTCACTAGCGTTTCGCTAGCGTTTGCAGCGGCGGGGCTAGAGAGTATAGAAGAGTAGGAGAGTACAGAATACTCTCCTACGCTAGAGAGTATAGAAGAGTAGGAGAGTACAAAATGCTCTCCTACGCTAGAGAGTATGTAGGAGAGTATTTTGTACTCTCCTACTCTTCTACACTCTCTATT